TGTGAGCAAAATAAGAATCAAATTATCCGATGTTGACTTCCTTGCAAAGTTTATGCCTTATTTTATGAAAATGTGTCACTAGAATATGATACTTATCATCGAATATTATTTAATTTACGATTTATTTCGGTCGGAATGCACATGGAGTCCCGCGCCATTTTCGTCGACGATGAATATAATCGTGTTTCATGAAGAGATAAGGGGTTTCAATGGTCTTTCAAAGCAATAATTTGATGCAAAAATTTGTAGGAAATAATATGAAGCTGGTTCAAATGGCCATTAACCATTTAAAACACCGAAAATACTCACAACTCCGTCCCGACGACCACGCAGCACCGCGCACGCCACACTACTGGCACAATGCCAAAACTGCTGTCACAGCGGAAATGTTTTTTTTCTCGATTGCAATTGTAGAATTATTTATTAAACAGAAGATGATCTTTCCAAAAAACCGACTGATTTTATACACAGATGCATGGAAAATAAAAAAATCCCGGTAAGTTTATTTGTATTGTTTTGTCGATTTTGACATGCTCCTAGTTTGCAGCCATATTTCGATATGTTCTACAGGGAGTTCAGAATTATTTCAGGACCAATCTTTTCCTCATTCATTTTCCCGTCGATCATGAAATTTTTAGAGCGGAACAATTGGTTTCCAGGCGGTCCGAGCGGTTTTCGTGAGAAGGGTGCAAAAATCGGCGTCATTTTTAGAGCCTCGACACCGGCTCAACACAGGACCCTATGGGAGACGGTGAAGTAGCGGGAGCAATAAATAGAGCGCTCTAATTTTAGCTTATTTCCCTGGTGTGTCACCGACTGACTACAGCTGCGTAGTAATTGTAGCGTGTGCAAAGGTCACGTGACATTATTTACTTCTGCGGTTTGTTCGGCTGACAAGAGATGGCACTAGTAGTCTGTGGATCAGAGGCGGGGCTTGGTTCTACGACTTCTTGGGGCAACTTTAGGGCAGAAAAGACGTTTTTGGCTCCTCATCCCAAATGCTTCGAACATACAAAAACAAGTTAGATATTCGAAAATCGGAGGACCAAACCGATCGTTTGACGTATCTTGCTCGACTGAAAATTGATCGGTCTTCAAACTACTGAGCAAAAACGAGGTGATTAGTAGCAAGTGCTGGCGACTGTACATACCAAGCTTCTCGGAATTTGCTCACCGGCACATGGCCGCCGCCCGTCGCCAGGAGCGTCGACGCGCGAAAAAAAGATGGTCAAATTCTTGCTCAGGGGGCGGCACACAGTCGAGCGGCGGCACACACATGAGCGAGAGGGCGGAACTTCATAGCTGGGGTGACATTCAGCTGAAGGGGCGGCACCGGCTGAGAGGGGAGGGAGGCGGCTCTTTGGGAGCACGAAAAGTGGTCCGACTAGTCTGGTTGGTCTCAAATGCGTCGACGCCCATGCCCCTCACTTTCGGTGACTCTTACAGGGGCGTAGGATAGTTTTTTTTAAATATTTTTGGTGTCCGACCTGGGCTTTTGTCGTTAGTAGCACACATTCATACTGGATTAGTACACTATATAAACGGCAGTGATACGAATCGTTTTCGGCACCCGCTACGCGGGACAGCCTTGACCGCACGCTTCCTGTCACGCACCCCAGGTGGCACCGCACTGGTGCGCACGCTGGGGCTATCCCGATTTCTCGGGCCCGGCAGGTCAGAGGGCTGCTCCGGGACATGAAGCGAGGCCGTGCCCTCGGGACATGTCACCGGACCGAAGGATCTGTTTAAAGGGAGATAATGACCTTTTTCCACAAAATCTGAGTTAGGACCATTTTCTGACAAAACACAACAAGTTATAATGTAAATTAAAACCATTTTGCTCAATTCGGTACCTTGCCGCAAATATCTCAACTTGAAGTCACGTTAGCGGGGAGCGCTGAAAATGACCGTTGAATAAGTACTTACATCACTTTTTGGTACTTGCATGTAATTTTGTAAAATGAGCGTATTCCTTACATTTGATCTTCATCACATCTAGTTAGTTAATGGTCGTCTATAGTGCCTTTAAAAGATATTCAATGTTTGGGGGTGGTTTATGTCTAAATTTACGCAACTATTTTTCCTGCTCATCATCTGACGCCATATGCTGCTATTTTAGTAGCAACGACTCAATTTTGAATCGGTCCCGCCGACTGCACAATAAAAGAAGATAGATACAACACTTTTGCGGCATCACTGAAAAACTTATGCAGTACTGTTATCAAAATTCTCATAACACCGTTCGACAAACCTGAAGTCTTTTTGAAATAAATATGCTTGTATTTTTCGCTTCAGGCTCTGACGCCAAAATAATGAATTTCGTAGTCGCAATCGCAAGATTTGGCTGCGTTTCTGGCGCATGCCGTTCATTTGTGGCGCTTGGAAACAAAGAAGAGTAGGCACTATGTACCCCCGAATTAGAATCTAATTAATTATAAACCGAATTAACTCTAATTCAAATTAGAATCCTTACAACCAAGCAACGACAAGGCGATAACATAAACAAAAACCCAAGCGTCGCTGTTTGAAACAAAAGCGTCATATACTGCGACTTTTTTATAGAGAAGGACAACGCATTTCGGCGGGTGTTACAAGTACTGCAAGTACTGCTTCTTTTTTGCAAAAATAAAAACCTTTTTCACATACGAAAATGTGCTAGGAAATTTTCATATTTTATAGAAACTACAGTAGAAATAGTATATATAGATGTCGAGTAATTTTTATTTAAGAAAAAAGAAAGCTCATTATCTCCCTTTAAAGGCGGATCAGGCCCGTGCACCTGCGGCCGGGGGCGCTGGCTGGCACAGCGGTAATCCCCACGACCGAGCGAACACTCCCCAGTTACTGCCATCTCCTGGGTAGGAGCCGGCCGAGGAAAACGCTGCCAGAGGTCAGCTTTGATCCAAGGACCTCCCACACCAAACGTGAACGCATTTGCCAACTGCGCCACAAGGGTGGTGGGGCGTAGGATAGTTGGGGGAGGGGGGGCTTCAGCGCCCAACTGAATCCCCTCCCCACCGTGTAGGGATTCTGTTTTGGTAGGCGCTGCGGCAAATTTGAATAACATGATCAAGTTTAATCAAACCTTTCAAGTTTTGTTCGCAAAATAGTTGAGTAAATTCATACCTAAATCCTTATTTATGAATGGATTGACTGGACGAATGAACATTGGAGGAAAACATGAAACAGGCGGATAAACGAGCAGAAAAATCTGTACCGATTTCCGAGTGCCGATCCTTTCATTCATTCATTCATGGACATATTGTGTCCTTCCATGCAAGTGTGAAATGCGCGTTGACTGCTCTCATTTCTAATGTACGTGAGGTAACTGCAATGACATTTACTTTTTCAGGCCATGGCTAAGAAGAAGAAGCCTATGTCAGACGCCGAAAGGACCCGCAGGCGTCGTGAGCGCATAAAGACCAACCCTGTACTTCGAGAGGCCTACCTTGCAAAGAAGCGGCAGAAGGCCAAGGAGGCGTACGTAAGGATTAAGGATCGCCCTGAGCGTGAACAAAGGATACAGCCCAAGATGTGGCGGGCCAAATACCAGGCCAAGAAGGCCAAGGCAGCGATGGTCAAGAGCGCACCGGAGAGCACGCCTCTGACGGCACCGGAAGCCTTGATTGATTCAGAGCAGGCAGCTTCTTCAAAAGAAACGTCAAATACGTCAGAAACGTCAAATGGTGGGACCAGCCACGCTGCCGGAACTCCGCGGCGCTGGGCAGGATGTCGTCGTCGAAGGCATGTGGAGAGGACCAGGGGGCGTCGAAGTCTAGTTCCTACCAACCTGGCACTCCCATGCCTACGTCACCACGAGGACGCCCGAGGGCATTTACATGTTGAAGATAGGGAAATTGACATAGTTTAGAGCCGCCTGGAGGGCAACCTTGAGATAGATGATAGTGTAAATGTGTGCTAATATGATCATCAACATGTTATTTATCCAAATCCAGGGCCAATTAATCGATATCTTGTCACGTTTTCCAGTGGTGATGCGCTAACTTTCGTGGTTCTTGGAGCCAATAAGGGTGTTTCATAGTGCGATTCAGCCGCATTATCGACTTTAATGCCATAAACTGCCACGGAACATATGATTTGCAGCTCCCTGGCGTGATAGCTGCCAGTAGGGCTGCGGAGTCGGAGTCATGAAGTCGGTCGGAGTTGACAGTTCTGACCTGAGTCGTCGAGTCGGAGTCAGAGTCGATTTTAAAAGCTGGAGTCTGAGTCAGTCACCGAAATTCGATCCCCTCCGCAGACCTTTTAGGGTTCCGTGGTCGGAGTTGTAGTCGGTCGGAGTCGACAGTTCTGACCAGAGTCAGAGTCAGAGTCGATTTTGAAAGCCAGAGTCGGAGTCGGGGTCACCAAGACTCCATTGCCTCCGCAGACCTGCTACGGCTGTGGAGTCGGAGTCGGTCAGAGCCGACATTTGAAATCAAAGTCAGGGTTGATTTTTGAAAGTCTGAGTCAGAGTCGGAGTCATCAAGAAACCCATGGACGATCCGCAGTACCATGTTGTTACAGCGTCTTTGTCTGTGCTCGTCTTAATTCGGCGCAGTGATCGATTGTTCGAGACAGTCAGTTTGTAGCTGTATATTCGTACGTAATTCTGAAAGAAAACAGACGATATTAGAAGCCAGAAAATAAGCAGATGTTAAATGAATACAAAACGACACATAAATCAATATAAATAATAATAAAGACACTTACAACACCATTCCTCCATTGCGCCGCTTGACCCGTTTGACCTCTGCGCATCGATCAGCTGTTAGCCACGTAACGATCAGCTGATATCTTACGGCACAACCGAGGCCATGACTGGACGGTGGTGCCCTCTACAATGGCTCGCCAGCGCCCTCTGCGGCTGCTGCGGTAACATGGCTCCCCGAAATTTGGGGACGCCCAAATTTCCAATCACAACCACAGCACACACAGGAAACCACAGTTTCCCATCACAGTATATCAGGCTCCCCGACAGGGACTCCCGGGTTCTCTACTGTTCACTTCCGGCTATCTGCCTTTACCATTGGCACGAGGCAGTGAATGGGCCTGTCGTACACTGCACCGTCCTTGCCCAGCCGGATCTGCACACTCCGCACGAGGCGGTCTGCACTGGGGTACGTCTTGATGACACGTCCCAGCGGCCAGCTATTCCTTGGAACGCTGTCGTCGGCGACCAGGACGATGTCGCCCTCTTCGATGTTCGGTACGGCGCGAGTCCATTTCCTACGTTCCTGCAGCGTCGGTAGCACCTCTCTCCTCCATCTGGTCCAGAAGAGGGAGGCCAGATGCTGGACCCGTCTCCAGCGCTGCCGAGCGTAGACGTCTGAGTCACAGAATCTACCAGGAGGAGTTAGCACTACCTTGGATTTCAAAGTCAACAACTGGCTAGGGGTAATCGGCTCTACAGTGGTAGTGTTAGTCATGCTACAGTAGGATAGGGGACGGCTATTGACAATGGATTCGGCCTCAGTCATCAGAGTACGGAGCAGTTCGTCATCAAGGTGCTGACCATGACCATCAAGAAGACTGGTCAGAACCGCTCTGGCTGACCTGATTTGCCGCTCCCAGATGCCTCCCATGTGACTTGAGCGCGGCGGGTTCATCCGGAACTCCACCAGGTCACACTCATCTTTCAGCAGCTCACGCCGAAGCTTGTCCATACTCAGCTCGTCCAGAGCCGTCTCCAGCTCTCTTCTTCCTCCAACGAAGTTTGTTCCGTTGTCGCAGTACAATCGTACCACTGGTCCTCTGCGACAAACGAAACGCCGGTAGGCGTTCAGGAAGGCGTCTGTAGTCAATGAATTGGCTGTTTCTATGTGGATGGCACGGGAGTTCAGGCATGTGAAGAGCACGCCCCAACGCTTCAGTTCACTTCGGCGCTCTCTGATGAAAAAGGGGCCGAAATAATCCACACCCGTGTACGAAAAGGGCTCAGCTGGTTCCAGACGCTCCTCTGGTAAGTCCGCCATCTTCTGTTTGTGAAGTGTTCCACGGAACCTTTTACACTTCACACATCTCAGGATATGCCTCGCTACTGCCATTCTTCCCCGGATTATCCAAAATCCAGAGACACGGATTTGTCCCAGCGTCATGTCTCTGCCTCCATGTTGTGTGCGTTGGTGAAAGTGAGCCACGATCATGTCGGTCACATGTCCGCGTTTCGGCAAGATCACAGGATGAGTGACCGCTGTAGACACGTCGCCTCTGCGCAGGCGTCCTCCAACGCGCAGGATTCCATCTTGACCCACGAACGGGTCTAGTCGGTGTAGGTCACTCTGTTTTCCAGTCACCTTCTTTTCTGCCGCTGTCTTCAGCTCCTTCTTGAATGCATCATTTTGGACTGACTTGATGATGATTCGTTCCGCCTCCTTCATTTCAGCGGCAGTGATCGGTGCATCAGTCAGGGAAGCATCGACTTCTTCGCTCACTTGGCCCTGCTGAAGACGAAGCCGCTCCATCATCCTTCTCCGAAGAACTCGTACGTACCTCAGACAGATGGCGAGTGATTTCTTCGCTCTGAACCAGCTCGAAAATCTTTCAAGTCTTTTCGGGAGTCCATCGTAACTCACTGGATCCGCGTCGGCGTGTGTGACGAGGACCCTTTTCGACTTCTTGACCTCAGGATCATCTTCATCTACCTCATGGGTCACTTCTTCGGCCGGCAGGTCAGCTGACTCTCTGAAGAAAGATGGGCCGGTCCACCACAAGTCATTGTCCTTGAGTTCATCTACGCTCAGACCACGTGAAGCCAGGTCAGCCGGATTCTCTTCTGACTTGATATACCTCCACTGCTCGGGTGAGGAGGCGAGTCGCACTTGCTGAATCCTATTGGCTACGAACACGTGGAACCTCTTGGATTCGTTGAGGAGGTAGCCAAGGACTACTTTGCTGTCCGTCCAAAAATACTCCTTCAGATCGTTGATGTCCAGTTCATCTCTCAGGAATCGACTTGCCCTTGCTGACATCACTGCAGCAATCAACTCCAATCTTGGCACTGTCACAGGTCGTTTCGGCGTGACCTTGGTTTTGCTCATTACCAGCTGTGAGGAGATGACACCTTCGTCGTCTATCATTCGCAGGTAGCTGCATTGAGCACAGCCATCCACACTCGCGTCAGAGAAGTGGTGGAGTTCATAGAGCTTGACCTTCCCGAAGTCTCTTGGATAGCAACGGGGAACTGTGATCTCAGGCAGCTTCTCTGTGTCGCTCTTCCATGCCTCCCACAGCTCTTCCAGATCTTCTGAGATGACATCATCCCAGCTGCTACCACTGCAGCAGAGCTGCTTGAGGATGTTCTTCCCTTTCAGCACGAAGGGCGACAGAAGACCCAGCGGGTCATAGACCGAGCTCACCATTGACAGTAGAGATGTCAATCGGATACCAACTTTTTGGTATACCGATACCAAACCGATACCAACTTGGTATTTGATATTTCAAGGCGAGTGCATTTGGTATTTTGTTGGTATTATGAATCCTCACTAATGTAAAAGAGGCTGAGAATTTGGTAAACAGTTGGTATTTTCCTCATATTCCCAAGTCGGTTTGGTTTCGGTATTTTTCAATGGATATTGTTGGCATTTGGTTTGGTATCGGTATCACGATTTTCCGTAATTGACATCACTAATTGACAGTATTCCTCTCCTTGTCGGCTGTTTCTTCGGCAGGTCCACTGTGAAGTGAAGCGTGTCGTCACTTGCATTCCACAGCAGCCCGAGTGCTTGTTCGAGGAGTGGTTGCTTCTCCTTCCCCAGCTCCACATTCTGCAGGTTCTTCGACCGGTCTTCTGGTGGGATGTTCTTCATCACCTCCGGATCATTCGATGCGAATTTGTGCAGCCTGAATCCGCCTTCTCTGCACATGCTGGAGGTGCTTCTCGCCAGGCGAATGGCAGTGTCTGCGTCAGGAGTGGAGATCAGGCCATCGTCGACGTAGAAATTCCTTCGGATGAAGTTAGCAGCCTCTTCGCCATGAGTGTCTTCGAACTTGTCTGCAGTGGCGTTGAGTGCGTACATGGCACACGACGGCGACGATGTGGCTCCAAATAAATGAGTTGTCATCCTATACTCCGCAGGTTCAGATGTCTGGTCTCCATTCTTCCACCAGAGAAACCTCAGTAGATTCCTGTGTTCAGCATCCACTCCCACTTGATTATACATCCCCTCGATATCGCATCCCAGGACTACTGGATGCTTCCTGAACCGAATCAGTACGCCTGTGAGGTTGTTGGCATGGTCAGGTCCTTGGAGGAGTTGACTGTTCAGAGAGAGGCCTCGATACTCGTCACTGCAGTCAAACACCACTCTCAACTTCTTCTTTTTTGGATGGTAGACTCCATGGTGCGCCACATACCAAACTTTCCCGTTGTCAAGGAGCAGCTCGTTCTCGGGGACAGGCTCTGAAAACCCCCTCTTCAACATGTCATCCATGTACATCTCATATTCATGTCGAAAAGAGGGATCTCTGTTCAATCTTTTCTTTAGTCCTGTCAGCCGTCGCTCTGCTGCTTGTCTGTTGTTTGGGAACCGCAAGGCTGGGTCTTTGAGAGGCAGTGGTGCTTCAAAGTGTCCATCCTCTCTCTGATGCATCTTCTCGTCCATCAGGTTCAGGAACTTCTGGTCTTCATATGACATCTTCTTGTCAACGTCAGGCTCTTGGAAGTCGGTGTCCATCATTCGTGCAATCTGCATCAGATTCACTTCTTGAGCGTGTACTCTGAAGGTGAAGTGACACAGCTCTCGTCGTTCTACTGTGACGCTGACGTAGCGGCATGCTGAGTCCTCCTTGTATCCACCTTGCACGGGGCCCACAACACTCCATCCCAGGTCCGTCTTGACTGCCCACGGATCTTCATCATCGCCCTGAACGATGTCTCTTGGTTTGATCGCGCGTGGACAGTTCATGCCTACCAACAGGCCAACTTCGGCACCTGGGAAGTAGGGCGGCAGTTTTTCCGACACCGTCTTCAGGTGCGGCCACTTGTCGATTGTCTCAGCTCTTGGGATGAGATGCCGCTCTGCTGGTATGTCTTTGCGTGAGTAGGTAGCAGGCATCTTGATTTCTGTGTCACTGTCGAGTGGTCGAATGATCAAGTTCTTCATGCTTGTCGTCTTCATGGTAGTTTCACCAGCCATGGTTCTGAGTTCCAGGAGCACGTCTTCTCCCTTAGCGCAGATGCGAGTGGCAACAGACTCCTTGACGAAGCACGCATCCGACTGTGGGTCTAGCAATGCGTACACCACTTCCTCCTTCTCCGGATGTTCAGCGTGTGAGATGCGCACCGGTACAACCATGGTGTGAGAACAGTTGATATCTCTGTCACTGGCTGTTACTTGCAGTGTCACTGCCTTCACTTGTGTTTCTCCAGACTGAGAAGAGGCAGTGGGCTCTGTTCTCTCTCTCCTTGGGACAGACAGGGCGTCATCATGGAGAACAGTTGGGTGCCCACGGGAGCACTTCTCACACTTCATTCTTCTCTTGCATGTGCGCCAGACATGGCCAGGTCTCAGGCATCCCTTGCAGAGACCGTGCTTCATGACGGCCACGCTCTTCTGAGAGAGTTCCATCTTGTTGAAAGCGTCACAAGCGCTAACTTGATGAATTCCATCACAAATCATGCACTCGGGCTCCTTCTTGTCAGCAGTGGTTGCCAAGAGAACACGAGCTCTATCCGGTCCCACTTGTCTCCTTGTTGGAGCCTGCTTCTCTGTAGCTGCAGATTCCTCTTGAATGGTCACAGGCCCACATGCCACTCTGGCCTCCTTCATCAGGAAGTTGACAAAGTCCACAAACTTGGGGTAACCAGCCTGCTGGCCAGGGGCAGGCTCATAGATGCAGATGTCAACCACTCGCTTCCATCTGTCTACTATGTAACGTGGGAGCTTCTTGATGAGATGGCCGATTTCACTTGGTTCATTGAGCACCTGCAGACCAGCAACCTCCTCTGTGGCAGCCAGGAGATGCTGTAAGAAATCTGCAAGGTGACGGAGTGCCTTACCATCTCCACTTCTCACAGGCGGCCAATCTCTCAGACGTTTCTTGTAGGTGCTGGCAATGATAAAATCATTACCGAACCTGTCTGTCAGCAGACTCTTGGCTCTGGTGTATGCATCTTCAGTGCGCAGGTGAAGAAGGCCTTGGATTGACCTGCGTGCCTCACCAGCAGTGTACTGTGCCAAAAAGTGCAGCCGTTCCACAGGTGAGACCGTTCTTGCCTCGATGTAGCATTCAAAGGACTTCATCCAGAGCGAGAACTCTTCAATATCTCCCTTGAACACTTGTGGTTCCAGAGCTGGAAGAAGACTTCTCCTCGTTTGTTCAGTCAGCAGCTGTGTCAAACCTGTGAGCACATCAACAACTCCTGGCTGCTGTCCCTGGTTCACTGCTGTAGACGGGTCAGATGGTTCTGTGGGTGACACAGTCGGATGAGGTCCACTGACTGGAAGTGGATCTACTGGAGCAGGACCAGGCTCCGCGAAGTGGGTTACAAAAGGCTGAGCAGTAGTGACAGAAGCCGCTGAAGGCTCAGCACGAGCAGAAAGGAGGGGTGCAGAGGGCACTGGCATATCATCGACACACTGTCGCTCAAACTTATCAATCACCTCTGATTGTGCCCGCTGAACTGCCAACTCTGTCTCCAGTGACAGCTGTTCCTCCTTCCATTGGAGCTCTTGACGTTGTCTCTGGAGCTCTCGCTTTGCATCCAGTGCAGCCAACTTGGCCCTCAGCTCCGCCTTCTTGTGCTGCTCCAAAATCCGCATCACCTGTATCCGAGACTTCACACTCGCAGAGTCATTCCTGATCCCTGACTGGCCTCCGATGCAGCATCATCCTGTTCTGCTCCACCAGCAGCACCTGGTGGAGCACCCATTGCCATGCCTTTGCCATCCTCGGATACATGGTCTTCAAGTTTCTCACTCGTCTGACTCATGGCCACAGGATAGGTGGGAGCTCAGGAATGAAATGTCTACACTACTGGCTAAAATCTACACAATCAAGAATGGAACACAGGGACAAGGTCATATCAGGTTCACGACAGTGTTAAAATACATATCATTTGCAATCTACAGTTTTCATCAGTTTTGGGATTTATCAATTAAAATACTTCCCCTACTTGTGGTTAGTTATGCCCATTGAGGCCTATTTACTGCTACAATTGTCGATATCAATAACTATGCTACAGTTAATTTGGTGTTAATTACTGTTACAGCGTCTTTGTCTGTGCTCGTCTTAATTCGGCGCAGTGATCGATTGTTCGAGACAGTCAGTTTGTAGCTGTAGGGGAAGGAGGGTGAATTGCGCCACCTTAAGGAAAAACGCTAATTGTAAGAAAACCGCTGGAGATATAAGCATGCATTGGTGACCATTTCAAAGAGAAACTCATTGGCTACGATTTAAGAGCCTCCCGATCAATTAAGAATGTTTCGTTTGCTTCTGACAGCTGCTTTTTCAGAAACATGTAAAAGGGCGCATTTGCCAACAACTGCTGTAAATTGCGCCAGGGGGATGGCGCAATTAGAACCCAATTGCGCCCTATACTTTAACATGGCTAAGCGAATAAGACGGAATGCATACACCCCGGCAGTCTAATGTCATTGCGGCTTACTTTAACATTCATAATGTTATTCACGCTGGTTAAATAATAAATGTAGGTATAAATCGCGATGTTTTTTTGCCCAGGTAATTACTTTACATGTGTTCGTACGCTTGTAAAAGTGCAACGAAAACGTTTACTGTAACCGACTAGATATATGTGAACGTATGCGCCTGTACGGTTACATTTTCAATCGTTTCTCTCAAAATTAATAATTTTTATTGTTTCGACAGCTTTATGACATCAGTTTTTACTTTTTTATAATAGCTGTCACCTCTCACCCCTGAATCCATGTTGAAAATGTCGTATTACACCACAAGTTCGTAGCCTAAATGGCAGCTACATTATAAGTTTGACGAGAGAAATAATTTGCGGACTGACGACAGCGGGTTGCTCCCCTGCCTGACATTAAACTCCTTCTTTATTGCAATCAGTTAATGATACATTCATGCTGTTGTGTTATACAATAGCTACACCATTATTCTATTTGCGCCCCCCTGGCGCAATTGCCATGGGCGCAATTAAAATTGAGGTACTTTTTAATACAAGCGTGGAAGTTATCATAAAGATGTTGAAGGAAGTTAACTGTTTTAGTGAAATATAATGAAAAAAGGGTTTTTCTTTCTAAATATCACTCTGAAAATCACACAAATATCACACATTTTTATAGCCAACGGTTCAAAATACTGCAAAAAAGCTAAGAAAACGCCATAACATCTTTGATGACGAAATGAGCCTTGCTGATTGGCTTCATCGGGGAGCTTGGGCCATAAAAGGAACTATCCAGTGGAGAAAATACTGTTTTCGAACACAAAATTCAAAACATGCCATTGAATCCGTGGGAATGTTGGTGGGCGCAATTGGTGGACATGCCTAAGAGCTGGACTTTTTGCACGCGTTCCCCGCCAGGGGGCGCCACTGAGGAAGCACCCTCTGACGTCACGATAAAACTGCGCGCACTGTGCGCACGGTTCTGTAAGCAAGTAATATAGTGGTGGTTTCATGGTGGAAATTGGAATAAGTATTTTGACGTTGTAAAATTTCAAGCCGTTTTTGTGAAATGAATTAGTAAATGCATTTTAAAAGTATTTATTAAAAGCGTGGAAGGAGAATAATTAGAAGAAGATGCATATTTTTGTTCCAATAGCTTATTATGTGAGACATGATCGGTAATAACGGGTACTTCTAAGAAATAGTGAACAAGTACCAAACAGCCTACTCGGCTACGATCGTCAGCTGTCCTTTGGAGCTGGACTTCAACGCTGTAAAAAAAAATGTGTGCTGAATTAATTTTTAGTTTCACCAAAATATAAGCAATTTATCATCTCCTTTTCACTTTTGTAATTATTGTTGAGTGAAGAGACATGTTGCTAGTTCTGACAATACAAATTATTAAATAAATAAAAAAACGAAATGCGACGGTAAGTATCTGCTACTAAATTATCACTTAAACTAAATACATGGAGAATCTTGCTACCATTGCTTATAAAACGTGCTTATCAATACACAAATGTTTTATTTCAGACAAGAAGGATTTATTTGCCTGAAGTCTTGCGTCATGTGCTACTGCTTTGATTCCAAAGACGCTCTCCGGGTCGGGGTAATTTAGTTCTTCATCGATCGATAAGAGATTTTGATTCCATTGATATCCAAATTGATAAGCTCGGCACCATGGAGTAAGGGCGTCCCCACAGGGGTGACGCAGGAAATATGAATGGCGTTTACACCGACAGTAGTTTCCCACAGCCGGCAATGGGAATCTCCTGTCGGTGTAAACGCTACTAGGTATAGTCCCATCCAACTCAAACACTGGGGAATATCCCCGCACTTTTGAGGACGGAAATATATGGACCTGCTCGAAAAATAGTGGACAAAATACGGCGAGCTTTCAGTTTTATGGTTAGGTCTCCCTTCCGAGGCACATATTTACGAGGGTCATATTCCCCCGGCGTCCTGATGATCGGCGCCCAGCTCAACGTCGAAGGCGCCCTGATACGCGGCACTGCATCTGTGAAGGTGCCCAGGCTGCTGCTGGTCGAATTTTGGTCGCCTACTTAACAAAACCTCCGTTGGTGCCATCTCAGTTTCCTCGAGGTCAGGCAACCTTCCCACGCCGTTGGCTACCTTGGCTGGCCGGCGACTCGTTCCCCTCGTGGCGACGCTCTTGACATCCAGTCAAAAGTTGGAGTGGCTGGCGCCCCCAGTGGGGGCCGGGGAAGGGGCAGTGGGCCTCCACGTTGCTCTCTTCCCGAGCCTATGGTGACTTGGCTCAACTCTCCTCAATAGAATCTGGATTCTGCACGCTGTATGAACATGGGCGTATTGTATTTTATTGTATTGAACAATCATGAGCGATCCACATTCTGAAAGTGCGTGGCGATTACTGCTCAGACACCACTACGGACAATACGGACAGTGGCCGGGTGTGACAATCAGTAGTGCCATTCATATAGAGGGTGTCATATATGAGCGGAGAGGCAACAGCACAGCTGAGCGGAGAGACAACATTAAAACAACAGTACAGCTGGCGTTGCATGGAGCTGCAGGCAACCGGACAGCGGAAGCTTGCGAAAAATAAACAATTTGTCACTTCAACGTATAAACAATAGTAAAAGCAACATAAACACATATTCTCATGGTCGAACCCATGCACTAGCGGCTCACGGCGGGCACAGGCGCGCAGAGCGGTAGCGGCACCGG